AGAACTCCCTCACTATCATGAGAACAGCATAGGGGAAACCATTCCCATGATCTAATCACCTCCCACCACGTCCCTCCCTCGATATGGGTGGGGACACAGAGCCAAATCTCATTCGTATATTTATCCCAAAGTGATTCCAGTGTCATCTCTAATCTAACTTAGTTCTAAATGCCTTTGCTTTTTTACTGTGATCTTAATAATTTTTCAATTTTTTTAACAAAAATAGCTTCCATTTATTTAGCACTTACCAAGTATTGGGTAATGTGTTTTATAATGTATTATTTTAAATATAGATACTTATGTTATTGCCATAATTATTGCCATAATTCAGATATGTTTATTTCACAAATAGATATTGTTCTTTAGAATGGACCAGGCATATAGGATACAGCGTTTAATAAAAGTGATCTCACTTATATCTGGAATCTAAACAAGTTGAACTCAGAGAAGTAAAGAGTAGAATGATAGTTACCAAGTACAGGGTTGGAGGCAACAGTTGGGAAGATACTGATCAAAAGATTCAAAATTTCAGTTACATAGGGGGAAGAAGTTCAAAAAATCTATTGTTAATAGATTTTATTGGTAACTATAGTTAATAACAACATTGTATTTTGAAAATCATGAAGATTTTCAGTGTTCTCACCACAAAAAATTGATCACTATGTTAGCTCAATTGAGCTATTCCAACAATGTATAAATATTTCAAAGCTTCATGTTATACATGATTCACATATAATTTTGTATTTGTTAATTAAATAAATCAATAAGGCAAAGTCTCTGCCCTCAGAGAGCATTCAATCTGGTGAAAGAATTAAACCATAAAGAAATATATATACATATATGTGTGTGTGTGTGTGTGTGTGTGTGTGTGTGGTAGCCACTGGAAGGCTCCTTTTAGACCACCAGCAACATAATTGGCCAGGGGCCCCAGTTCTGTTGTATTCTGAACTCCACAGTGCATTGGTGCAGAGGCTGCCTTCACAGGCTGCTCTCAACTAATGACTAGGACAGTGCCACTAAGTTACACTGTTTCTGGGAAACACAGGACCCCTCTGAGGATGGGTCACTTTGGCTCAGGATCCCCCAACAGCCTTGCTGAATCTTCCTGAGATTGCATGATGGTCTAGAACACTTACACACATTTCCATTTTAGGCCTGCTGGCTCTCCCATACTTTTTTTTTTTTTTTTTTTTTTTTTTTTTTTTTCATTTTTGTGGGTACATATTGGGTATATATATATATCTCCCAGACATTCTTGACTCCCTCCCCATTTTCTCTCACACATGCATTTCTCCTAGTAAAATTCTTGCATGTTTAATCCCATCTTGACATCTGCTTCTCAGAGGATCTGGACTAACACATTATGTTAGGGAGTAATAAGTGCTGTAAAGAAAAACGAAAGCCCCAATAAGGGATTAGAAGTGTGCTCTTTTAGCCGGGCACGGTGGCTCAAGCCTGTAATCCCAGCACTTTGGGAGGCCGAGGCGGGTGGATCACGAGGTCAAGAGATCGAGACCATCCTGGTCAACACGGTGAAACCCCGTCTCTACTAAAAATACAAAAAAATTAGCTGGGCATGGTGATGCGTGCCTGTAATCCCAGGTACTCAGGAGGCTGAGGCAGGAGAATTGCCAGAACCCAGGAGGCGGAGGTTGCGGTGAGCCAAGATCAAGCCATTGCACTCCAGCCTGGGTAACAAGAGCGAAACTCCGTCTCAAAAAAAAAAAAAAAGAAGTGTGCTCTTTTAAATAAGGGTGATCAGGAAAGGTCTTAGGAGGAGGTGATGTTTGAGTCATATAAATACTCGGAGAAAACTGTGATTTACAGAGTAAAGTAAATTACTTGAGATTATTCGTTGATTTGTGGTAAATCAGTATGTAAATTTGTTACTTCCAGGCTGGAATCTTTAAATAAAATTGCTTTTATATATTATTTGTGAGTGATGATAAATATAATGAGTGTATTTATTTAGATAACAATCCATATCAAACAATTGTGTCTATGTAGACCAAAATTACTTCAAAAAGGATGAATAAAATGCTTCAGAAACCTTAAAATAATGCAATTATCTTTTGTACAGCATGAATTGTATTTCCTTCCAGTCTACTTCACTCTGGCCTTCCTTTCCCTCCATCCCACCCCTTCTTATATATTTATTTTGTTAGTGATACAGCTTCTTTCATAAGCATTTTTAAAATAGACAATGACATTTACTTTATCTTTTTTCCTTCTAACTTTCCAGTCCTGTTTCCTGAAACATCTCCACTGCCTGAGTTGCCATTAAAATATTTTTCAAAATATTACACAATACAGGCTGTGCTTGATGATACATGCCTGTAATCTCAATGCTTTGAGAGGCCTAGCTGGGAGGATCACTTGACTAGGCTGTGCAACATAGCAAGACCCTATCTTTTCAAAAAAATTTAAAAGTTAGCCAGGTGCCATAGTCCCGACTACTCAAGAGGCTGAGACAGAAGGGTCACTTGAGCCTGGGAGTTTGAGCCTGCAGTGGTAAGCTGTAATTGGGCCAGTGTACTCCATTCCAGCCTAGGTGACAGAATGAGACTCTCTTAAAAAAAAAAATTACACAATACAAAATAACAAGCACATTCTTATTTTGATCTGAACTATAAGCTCTTTCAAATAGCTTTTTTTCTCTCTTTGCCTGTATGTACCAAATCTTCCCAAACTGAAATCACATTACATTGAGAAGTTAGGGGAAATTTATATCCTAGGTTGCAATCTAGTTTCTCCATTTAAGAAATTCAAAAAAGAACCTCTACTTTTATTTAATAACATTTTAGTTTAAGCTATTAAAATTCTTACATACTTTTGCTTCCTTTTTTCTTAGTTCTGAAAAGTTTAACTTGTAAAAAGCATTGTAATTTTTAAAAAATTCTTTTATATATTTGCAGTGTGCTTTGATCAGTGAGTTTGAAATGGATTCCCTTTGCTTGTCTTTTGGTAAAAGCAGGGTACTTTTCTGCCTTTCATAAAAAGTAAACTGCCCTTCTTCCTACAGAATAGAGTGTGGAGGGCAAAATTCTTCTTCATAAGAAAAGGGACACTCAAAGTAATACTTTTCTAAGCTTAATAAAAGACAGTTGTGGCTGAAAAACTGCAATAATGTCATGTAAGTTTTATCTTGCATAAGCAGCAGAGTGAGGAAATTCCAGAATTAATAAGTGTGCTGGTACAGCTGTGCCCTTAGTTGAAAAGTTCAGGGTGTTCTTTTCATACTCACGACTGGATATTTTGCTCCATATTAGCCTTTGCAAGATTAATTGGCTCCCTCTATTTCCAAGCTGCTAAAATATTTATAAATGGGTCTATTTAGGGGATGAAAAATTTAAAGTAGATGTAGTAAATGGTCATTTTGACTAAAAATTATTGTCTATATTTGACTCGATTTTGTAATAACCAATAATGACTTATTTTAAATTGTCAAGTCCTCTTAAATGTTGAGTTACGAGATGGAAAATAAAGCACTTAGATGATGAAAAGAAGTGGAGAGTTAAAAGCCAAAGATAGTCTCTCTAACCATAGCTTTAGTTATTAATGTAGTGCTCGTTATCCAGGGGGCAGTTGGCAAGTTGATCATCAGTCCTGCCAATGATATAAGAAGAAATTGGCTTAAAATAGAAAATATAATTTCATGACTCAGAAGTCTATTGAACAGTATAATGAAACTTGAGAGAGTTTACTCCAAAGTTTCAAAAGGTAGAAAATGTTTTCATTTGAAGGAGTGGTTTTGGTGTGTTACTAATTAGATGATTTCTTTCAGCTTATGTCATGTATTTCTTAACTCTTTCTTTCTCTTGCTTTCCCATTCTTTCTTCTTAGAAAAGGAAGATTAGTAGATCAAATGGGTGTACAATACTGAGCAGAAATAAGCAGGTTTAATCAGAGTGCACTTTTGTGTTAATTTCAAAATTAAACATGCATACTCCTGTTTCATTTGTTTTCAACACAGTCTGAAAGTTCAGTTTTTACGAATGCCTATATAACTTTGGATAGTGACTCTAAAATTACTCAGTGTATAGATGTATTTGCTCAAAATTAAGATAATAGAGAACTTTATTTTTTCTAAATAAAATATTTTAAGGCTGAACTTCATTCTGAGAGAAAAGCCGTGAACCATGTGCTCTTAGAGAACCACTTTAGAACCAGACTCATCAAGTTCTGCCAGTTATGAGCTAGGCTTATTTCAAGTAACATTAGTTCTCTGAGGCTCAGTTTTTTTAATATAAAATTTAGATTATTTGTAATGCCATCCTTACAGAATAATTATGAAAATCCAATATTAAATATATTGTTACCTTTATAAGGAAGTGACTAGAGGGTCTGATATTTAGTACTCCAGCAACAAATTTTCATTGTTTTACCTTTTTAAAAATATTTTTCTCCTTTTTTTCCAGGCCTCACATATACAAAAGCAGGTGGAAAAAATGCCACAGTCTTTCTGTTGTGCTAAACAGACTATAATATTTCTTTTGACTTTGAAAGATTTAGCCGTTTTTCAGGTTAATGGAAATCCCATTCAGAATTCCTTTTGAATTCTGAATTGTGTAACAACCAGAGTGAAATGTTGTCCTTTCTAAAGGTGTCAACTGAGCTAGAATTAATCGACACTTCCAAGAAAGAAAGAAATAGTGACAGAGGGTTTTTCTTTTTCTACCTAATCTTTAAAAAAATAAATATCACTTAGGATTTTCCTTTTTAAATTATCTTTTATGATACTGGGGAGTACTGTTCTGTAGCTAACATATTTAATTGCTTGCCTCTATTGTCAGTGGTTGGCAGAATAGGAACAGTGATCATATAGTTTATATTTGGAAGTGATTGAAATAATGCAATAAGATTTCAATTTTCTTAAAAACTGACTCATTTCATGATGTTAACGAAGAACTAAACCATTTCATCAAAATTCCTAATGAATATGCCTAATTTTTATTTTTTAAAGATTAAAATGAACAAAAAAATGGGAGCCTCATTGATAGTTTATCACAGATGCCAACATATTGTTTTAATACAATTGAACACCAAAACTTATAAATAAAATTAAGATATCTTAAGACATATTTAAAAATATACAAATTCTCTACAATAATATTTATAAATACAATATTGTGTCATTGCTGCTTTCTAGGGGTTATATTTTCATAAGCAAATTTTTTTAATTTTGCTACTTACAAGTCTAGACGATGATTAAAACAATCACCAATTTCCACAGTACATAGATTCTTCTGTAAATATGTAATATTGTGACTTGGTATTTTCACTGCTATACACTGTCCTTCTTCTCACCTAAACTTTATCTAATAGACAGTTTTCTATTGATGAGACATTTCTTCTCCGCTATAAACATCTATCACAGAACTCTTAATTTAATTGAAATGGGAGGAATTGATATTGATTTCTATAAGTTACCTGTCATATAATTCCTCAGTCATACTTTAATATAACTATAACTTTATATTAGTTTAGTTTGAGTCTTCTATGTCAATATATTACATATATTATGATAGATATGTGCTACATTGCTTTCAGATACTTTCATGCCTTTTGTTTCTGTCTGTGTCTTATAGCATGTACTCCCCAGTTACTTGAGGATTTTAACAGAATTTAAAGATTTAGGAAAGAAAGCTGCCAATTCAAATTACTTACTCTTTCCCTATCTCACATACATGTATGCATTTATATGTGTATTTGTTTGTACCTTATTTGTTCTTGCTCTTCTGAAAACCCACACATAAAGTTGAACATAATGCACAGCATTGTTATTTGTGAAACTTGAATTCTGGGCACACTTTGGTCATTAAAACTATACTACTATGACATCCTTGCGTCATTGTCTCTCAGTCTCTGTGGGAATTCACTCAGGGTGGTAGCAAAAATATTAAAGGAAAAATATTAGAGATAGCTTTAAGGAATAGTCACAAAACTTATTGGAAGGCCAAGAGGTTTTTGCATAGAGTCAGTAGAAGTTTGAGCTGAAGGCAGCCTAAATCCTCTTTACATTTAGATAAAAAGAAAACAAAATAGCTGAAATATGTAGAGAAGTTTGTCTGAATAACTTGTTCATTCATGTAGTCTTAAAACTAACATTTGAGCTGGATGGCCCTCTTGTGGGGAGGTCGACCAAGGAGATTACCCTCTAATAGTGTTTGCTTTAGGCCTCAGAACTTGGCCTTTAATTTTCCTCCACAAGTGTGTTAGCTTAGAGCCTCTGTTATTAAATTCATACTGAATAAATGCAGAGAAGGCCAACTAGTCAAGGTCATATAGCTGCAATCTCTCTCTGTGAGTGGCTTATGACCCCCCCAGCCCACTTGTTCACTGGAAATTTGTGTCTAAGTGCATTTATTCATCCGTCATGAAGGTAGGGTCTGTAGGACAGACCCTGGCAAGTCTCCTGGACCTAATACTAACTGAATATAATAACTGAATTGAACTTTGGAGAAAATCATCCAGAATAATTACGTAATGATTCAAAACATATTGAAAAGTGCAAAGCACTTTAGAATTCTAAGAGTGATTAATGGAAAGACTTCATCAAGACATATTATTTTCTCATGGTCACCAGAAAGGACATACCTAACCCTTTCCTCCATCAATAAATCTGTACATCATCCTCCATAGCTTTCATCCCTTAGATGAAACTCTGAATAAGTCTACATATCTCACACTGTATTTTGATTCTAGATTCCACTTGAAAAACTTACTCTGTAATAAATCATATAAAATGAGACAAAGGTGAAACTGTTTGTTGTCAATTACTTTTCTATCTAAATTTTGCAATAAAATGTCTAGATTCTTTGAACCAGGTGACAACAAAATTATGAATGAAGACAAGTGAGTTATAAGTCTTTTAAAGTAAGATTTCTAATTGTTTATTAATATTTGATCTGAGATTGAAATTGAATGTCATAAAAGGAGAATCACTAAATTGCTATTATTGCTACTAATGAAAAATGCAAGTGGCTTTACCAGTAATTAGAATAATAAAACAGAAACTTTATATTCAGAGTTTTATGTGGCATATTCAACTTTCTGTTCATAGGTCTTCTGATTCTGGTACAGTGGTATCATCTGTAGGTTCAGTTGTTATAACTATAGGAATATTCTCAGATATCCATCCCTTAGGAGTCCTATTAAAGGACCGTCTCCCAGAAAGGGGATTGACAAAGGACATAAACCTGGGATCTGTTAACAATAGTAGCTCAAAATCTGGAACTTTAAATTTAACCATTTTTGATGCTTTTTCAAAACCTCCAAATGGGGTGGCAACCCTGTGGGAAATAAAAAAGAAAACAGATATTAATACTCAAATTTATTTGTCAAAATAGAAAACTATTTCATGATTTTATAGGCATGATTTCATGAGTGTGTTTAATTCATGATTTTGTGGGCTTACTAATCTATGTATGATTTTCATTTTCTGACCTCTGAGGCAAGCATTTCTACTTTAAAGACGATGCTTTTACAAAAAGTCATATATTGTTAACAAATTCATGTGAAGTTCCTTTGTATATACTCTTAGTTTTGGACTAAACTAATCTATTTCCTGTACACTGAGCTCATTACAGACATGTCTTGCCTCTGTACTTTTACCAACAATATTTCCCCTATTCAAGATATTTCTAGGCCAGGTGTGATGGCTCATGCCTGTAATCAGCATTTGGGAGGCCAAGGCAGGAGGATTATCTGAGGTCAGGAGTTTGAGACCAGCCTGGCCGACATTTTAAAATCCTGTCTCTACTAAAAATACAAAAATTAGTCACGCATGGTGGCAGGCACCTGTAATTCCAGCTACTCAGGAGGCTGAGGCAGGAGAATTACTTGAACCCTCAAGGCAGAGGTTGCAGTGAGCCAAGATCATGCCACTGCACTCCAGTCTGGGCAACAACATGAGACTCCATCTCAAACACACACACACACACACACAGATATTTCCTGCTGGGTGCAGTGGCTCACATCTGTAATCCCAAATACCTGGGATGCTGAAGCAAAAGGATCATTTGAGCCTAGGAGTTTGAGACCAGCCTGGGTAACATAGCAAGACCTCATCTCAGAAAAAAAGAAAGAAAGAAAGAAATGGGAAGGGAAAGGAAAGGAAATAAGAAAGGAAAGGAAAAGAGAAGGAAAGAAAAGGAGAAGGGAGGGGAGAGGAGGGGCGAGGGGAGGGGAGATGAGGAGAAAGAGGAAAAGAGGGGAAAGGAAAAGAAGGAAGAAAAGAAGAAAGGAGGAGAGGAAAGGAAAATAAAAAAGCACTTGTATATGTCCTACAGCCTTACAGCTCTAACTTTCTTCAAACTATACCAGCCCACACTTCTTAGCCACATTCCTGTAGCATCAATTGTTCTATGTCAGTCGTTTTCTACTAATGAAATGGTACTTTGTATTGTGAGCTTCTCCTATTAATAATACAATCTGGTTTGGGTTATCTGTGAATTATAAACTCTTTTAGGGCAAGAAGTATGTCTGTTGCATCTTTCTATCTCTACCTGAAAAACTTTAGCATTCTTCCATTTGTCTTCTGAATAAAGCCCAGCTTCTTTATGTTGGCATTCAAGAGCCCACGTAAGTTTTTAACTTTGTTTGATTTAAGCATTTTATTATTCATTCAGTACCAGACACAGTTCCAAGTGAGCAGTATAATCAAAGTCTCAGCTCTTACATTCTAGTGAAGGAGATAGACCCTAAACATAACCATATACAAAAACATCTAATAGTGATAACAGCTATGCATAAAGTTAAAATAAAAATAGTGTTGTAATATTGAATAGCTGTTGTAATATTGAATAGACTAGAAAGTTACTTCAGGTTGAATCACCAGGGAAGACTTCTCTGAAGAGGTGACATTTAAACAGCCATCTGAAGGTCAGAAGTTAGACATGAACAGTATGGCTAAAGTACATCAGCACTTGTAGTAGACAGAATAGCTAATGCCAAGGACCCTACGGCAGAAATAATGTTGGCACATTCAAGGAAAGAAAGAAGGTTTACGTCACTAGACTAGTGGGTGAGGCTGAGAAGAGGGAAGTGGGGACAGAGAAGTAAAGTTGTGTGGGACTTTTTCCAAGCAAGGAATATGGATTTCCTTTTAAGTGTGAAGAGGAACCATTGTAGGGTGGTAAGCTGGAGAGTCTATAACCTAATTAAATTTTATAAGAATGATTCTTGCTGCTATTGCTGTGTGAACAGATTATAAGACAACAGTAGAAGGAGGGAACCTATTGCAGCAACTCAAGGAAGAAACGATGACTTGTATTTCAGGTGTTTTATGTAAAGATGGAAAGAAGTGGGTGGGTTCAGGATGTGCTTTACAGGTAGAGTCAACAAGATTTGCTGATAAATTGGATTAAAACTATGATGAAAATAGATAAATCAAGGAAAACTCTTACATTTAGAGTTTTAGCAACTGACTGGTGGAAGACAGAAAAGAACAGGTTTGGTCTGTGGGTAGAAAACACAATTTAGACATCCCAGTGGAGAGGTCAGTCATGCAGGTTTTGCCCTATTCACTTTCACGCACCCTTTAACTGCTTGCTCTTTGCATTTATGCTCTCCTACCTTACTGCCTCTACTCATACTCTTTTTTTTCTCTTTTTCTCTTCTTGGAGCACTCTGATATTTACAACTATGTTTCTAAATCCCCTTTGAGCCCTAATTCACATTTAACTTTCTTGAAGCTTTCCCAATTTCTCACAGCCAGAAGTAAGCTTTCCATCCTGAAATTTCTATGACTTCTGTTTTCACCTCCCCATGACCCTATTTTATATCTTTCATTATATTCATTGGTATGTCTGTCTTGTTTCTTACCAGACTGTACTCTGTACTCTAAGAAGATTGGAATTTTCTTTGATGTATCTTTGTAATTCATTACAATATACTTGTATAATGCATTGTACCATAGGACCTGGCATGAGTATATAAACTCTCTAATATTGTGAAGATTATTTTAAAACCTCAGAGATCTTATTTTCTTTGTAGCTCAGTCACTCTGCTATCTTTCTTGAATGGCTTAATTTCTGTGTTCCTTTATTAAAGAATTAATAAAGAAATGAATATGTACCATCTGCTACAAATTCGATTCCATTACTTTCGTTTCAATTAAATTTTTCCCTTCCCAAATAGATTTTAGTATGTAAAAAGGAAAGTCATATTCTATTTTTTTGTATATTCCCATTGCATCTGTTACAGCAAGGGTACCCAACCCTTAGGCCACAGACCAATCATCCATGGTCTGTTAGGAACCAGGCCACCGGCAGGAGGTGAGTAGCAGGTGAGCGAGCATTACCACCTGAACTCCACCTCCTGCCAGAGCAGCAGCGGCATTAGATTCTCATAGGAGCGCAAACCCTATTGTGAACTTTGCATATGAGGAATCTAGGCTGCAGGCTCTTTATAAGAATCTAACTAATGCCTGATGATATGAAACCAGCTCCCCCTGCCCTGCTATCTCTACACCCCTTCCCCCATTCTCAGAAACAATGTCCACAAAACTGCTCCCTGGTGCCAAAAAGGTTGGGGACTGTTGTATTACAGTGTCATGCAACTTCCTTATTAGAAGTTGCCTTTTTGTGACTGATGACTACTCTGTCCTTCCTAAGATACCATAATCTAGGTTGGGGATGCAGAAGGAGACTTAATTCACTAGAAAGACCTATATAAGAAGCACTCAGACTGCTGGAAGTAGAGTAAAACCGACAATACTTCAAGCATCAGGCATTACATCCTTTATCCAACCAATTTGGTAGGAGCTAAATATGTTAGTTGCTGACAATAGTTATCATAGCCCGTGAGAACTGCAGGTGAACTGTGTTTGTCATATTTGTTTCAAAATTATTTCAGTGGCATGAGAAATCTGTTGCTTTTAACTTGCAATATAATTTGACACTCTCCTCTTCTAAAAAGTTTTTATTATGCACAGTGGAAAAAATAATTCCAATAAGTTTCTGAAAACTGTATTAGGATAGGTCAGATACTTAAATTGTAAATTTTGTATGTTGATTTGAAATTTTACTATCACACTTCTAAAACAATAAAATCTTGTTTTAAAATATTTGTTGGATATTCTGTTCTTCAGTGTACTTTTTGAACTCTGTAATATTTACAGTTTTATAATAATAATATATCCCTAAAATTCAGTTTGTATAAATCAAATTCCAAATTTGCTAAATTTATAGTTCTTTTTTTATAGTTTTTTAATGTATGTAACATATAGGTGTTCATTCTTTTCTGTGTGAATTAAATATTGGGCTCTTGCCTGCAGAATGTTTAATACATATATACTCCTCAAGATAGCCTCTAAATTCCCCCCTTCAGTACCATGCCATAGTTTTTCTAGTAAGTTGATATATCACCATCACATATATCTTATCCATCTAAGAAAACCAAATAGCTATTATGAATAACCACTATTTTCCAGGAACATGCTGGAAGCAAATAAGTGGAAATGAAAGTCTTGGTTTTTACTCTCAAATAACTTGCAATCTATTGAGAAGAAAGTAAAATTTTACATTATTTTTTATTTAAAAAGGCATACTAAATTATGTATAAGAACTCTCCCAGAATGCACAGGGAGCAGGCAATATGATGAAAAATAAACTAGAGTCCAGATGAGGATATTCAAGTTTCCAAGTGGAAGAAAACAGAACATTATGAACACAGTCATGAACCAAAGATATAGAAAGCAACTCTCCTGAGTTGAAGGAAGAAGAGATTATAGAGGAAAGGAGTTACCAAGTACTAGACAAAGTTAAAAAGAAAAAAAAACCAGCATGGTGAAACCCCGTCTCTACTAAAAATACGAAAATATTTAGCTGGGCGTGGTGGCGCATGCCTGTAGTCCCAGCTACTCGGGAGACTGCAGCAGAATTGCCTGAACCCGGGAGGCGGAGGTTGCAGTGAGCCGAGATTGCGCCACTGCACTCCAGCCTGGTGCCTGGCGATGGAACGAGACTCTGTCTCAAAAAAAAAAAAAAAAAAAAAAAAGATGCTACTTGGACATTCCTTGTCAGAATTTTAATTTTTTTTATATAATGAGCCATGCATGGAGGGAAGTGGGAAGCAATGTATGAAATAAGTGAAAATGAGGCTCTCCATTATCTTTTTCAAAACTTACATATCAGTGAAGATAGTATCAAATAGGTGTTGTGGAGAAAAGACTGTGACCAAGTAGTTATTCATGTACCAAGGTAAAAAATATATATGTATAATAGATATTCATAGACTCAGATTGGTGTTCCCTTCCTAAGAGAACTGCTTGAAGGCATACTCCAGATAA